TCTATTTTGGAGAGGAACCAGAGTGCGTAAACTGCCAGCTGCGGCATTACGAGGATTGGCTAATAATTTATGACCGGATTTTTTTAATTCTTCATTCAGGCGCAAAAACTCTTCTTTTTTCATGTAAACTTCCCCCCGCACTTCACAATTAGCAACTTCTTTTAAAAAAAGAGGAGCATTTTTTAATAGCCCTTTATTAAAAGTTATATCTTCCCCAATAATTCCGTTGCCACGGGTGCTGATTTGGGAGAGGTGGTGGTTACGATAAACCAGACTCACCGATAAACCATCGATTTTTCATTCGCAAATATATTTGATTTCGGCTTCGGTTTTCAATATCTTTTTCACTCTTTCATCAAATTTCAGTAAATTCTCATAATTATCCACACTATCCAAACTTAACATGGGATTTTGGCGTGCCACTGGACGGAATTTGGGGCTGGCAGTTTGACCAGCTTTTTGGGTTGGAGAATTAGGCAAAATATAATTGTATTTGGCTTCTAACTCTCGTAATTCTTGTCAATGCTTATCATAAACCGCATCCTCAACACTAGGCTGATTAAGAATGTAATATTCATAATTTCATTTTTCAATTAAGGAAATCAGTTCTTTCATTCGGGCCATTGGCACCTCATTTTTTTTATTCATTGTGACAAAAGGCTATAAAAAGATTTTAAGAAAAGCAAAGAGGTCCTCGGCGAACTTTCTTAAACCATAATAACAATGGTAAAAATGATGGTTGAGGCCAAGCAAGAGAAAATAAAAACCTTAGGAAAATTTTCTTGCGGAAGCAGAAAAAAAGTTAAAAATTGAGGTTTTCTGAATTAATTCTTGTAATTAATTCTTGTATAAATATAATTAAAGGTTAAAAAAGTAATATGGCAGCATTCACAAAAAAAAAAAACAAGTTCTCCTTATGAGAACACATAAAAAGAATAAAAGCAGTGGAGGTCCCGCGTTTTTTTAAAAATCTATAAAATGAGTGTAAAATAATATAAGGCATTTAAAGCATTGACAATAATATACAATATAAATAGTAATAAATAATATGGCAATAGATATATTCAAATACAGAGATAAAATAATACAAGAAATTTACAAATTTGCTGAAACTGCCGGTGTAGAATCTATTGAAATTAATGAGGCAATTAAAGAAGCAAAAGAAGATGATGCTAATTTCAGAGAATTTGCGAAAGACAAGAATACATGACGCGATTTTATATATGGTAACGAAGATATAAACGCTATTGATAATGTTAAAGAAGCTTGTTTTAAAGTGATTAATAATTTGAGTAAGAAAAAACGTGAAAAAGAGTTAAACAAAAGCAAAGAAGATGTTAAATGATGAAAAGAGGAAAGCGATTATTGGCACGAAAGGAAGGAATGATGAAGAAAATATAATGCTGGTGAACTAGATTGACAAAAAGACCAAAGTAAAAGGACTGAGGAAAATAAGAAGAAATTAGAAGAATCAGAAAAAAACCGAGAAAATGATGAAAAGAAAGAGAATGAGCAGTGAAAGAAAAGGTTTATTGGGGATATTGAAATGGACCTGATTGAGAAAAATGTCACGGGCGAAAAATTAAGTGAAAGGCTGAAAGTAAGTGATTGAAGAGAAAAAATTAACGGAGCGACTGATTTTTATGAGGCTTTGTCTCGTCGCTCTAATCTGTGAAGCATAATTCGTAAATTACAAGATGAACAGGAAAAAAAGTTTACTTGTGCCAGTTGTGGTAAAGAAAAAGAAAAGTATTACAACTGACCTACGGCAGAGGGCAAAAAATATTGTTCTGCTGAGTGCTGAAATAAAGGTGAAGGCAAAACACCAAGCAGCAACTCATACGGAAATAATTTCGGTTTTTCTAGTGTCAGCGAATTCTTTGCGTGGATGAAAAAATTAGGGGTAAACGAGATTAGATTTGATGTTGATAGTAACCAAGTAATAATTAGTTGTAATGGCAATAAGAAATTAAAGGTTTCCGAAGCAGGTTTATCAACTAGACAACAAGAGGCGTTAACAGAAAGATTCGAACAAGATAGTTCGCCCATTACTTTTAGTCAGATTAGCGATGAGATTAATAAAAACAAGAATAAAAATGGCAACGGTGGAATAATTGCTGCTATTGTAGTAGTCGGAGTAATTTTCGCAGTGATTATTGGGGTGATTATTAATAAGAACAAAAAAAGAGATTATTAAAATTTTGTAGCAAGTTGAAATTGGGGAGTAGTTAATGCTCCCTAATATCTATTCTTTTCAATAAAGAAATTATTGGATTAGATATTAGTTGAAAGTGGAAAAAATTGAGTGTATAAAAAAAGCCGGACAAGCCGTCAGTAATATTTTAAAAAGGTTAAAAAAAGAAATAAGACCAGGCATTTCTGGCCAAGATTTAGATAAACTGGCCCAAAAATTAATGAAAGAACAAGGAGTTCAGTCATCCAGCCTCGGTTATAAGGGTTTTTCGGCGTCCATTTGTGTGGCTATTAACCATGAATTGACCCACGGCATACCGGATGAACGGGTTTTTCAAGAGGGTGATTTGGTCTCAATAGACGTAGCCTGCCATTACCAGGGTTATCATGCCGATGCGGCTCTGACGACCATCGTCGGAACCGGAGATGAAACCAAAAAAAATCTCCTCAATACCACTAAAAATAGTTTATATTACGTTATTCAAAATATCCAACCAGGACTTACTACTACTCAAGATATTGGTGCTATGATAGAAAAATACATTCGAACTCGTGGTTATTATCCCATTAAAGAATATGGTGGGCACGGCATTGGGGAAAAACTTCACCAGGAGCCATTTATTCCTAATTATAAAACCCCTAGCAAAGGAGAAATCATTAAAGAAGGAATGTTTATTTGTATTGAACCTCTGGTGCAGATTGGCGATGCCAAAGTGGAGGTTGCTGCTAATAAATGGACGGTTTTTTCCAAAAATGGTCATTTGAACGCTCATTTTGAACATACTGTATACATTGGTCCTACTGGTGCCGAAATCATAACCAATTATGAAGAATAGACGTGGATATTTTAAGTTAAACAAAGACAAAAAGCATAGAGAATTTTTTACCACTCAAGGCGAAGTAATTGAATTAATAAATAAAAAAAAATTTCGGGTTGCGTGCGGTAATGGTAAAATAATTGAGGCCGACATGCCGGCTCGCTTTCGGACTAAACAAGGACGCCGCCGGGCTACAATTGTGGTCGGGGATAGAGTGAAAGTAGAAATAATTTTGGGTGATTTAAGCAAAGGACAAATTATTTCTCTGGCGGAAGAAGATGCGGGAGACAAAAAATAAAAAATATTTTGCCGATTTCCCTATTTTCATTCGGGGAATAGACAGAAGAAAATAGATGCTATTTTTGGTTGGCTATCTTTAAAAATCTTTAATTACAAAAAAAATTATATAATTGTCATACAAATGTTGATTACTATCAAAGAAATTTACCAAAAGTTCCAGGAATTAAGCAAACTAGAAAAAATTGCGGTTGGTGGCTGGGTAAAATCAATTCGAGAAAGCAAAGAAAAAATTTTTATTACTCTGAATGATGGCTCAACTTTAAAATCCCTTCAAATTATTGTTCGGAAAAATTTTTCTCAATCAAATTTATTAGAAAAAATTAATTTTGCTAGCACCTTATTAGTGAGCGGTAAGTTAACATTAACCCCCGAAAGAGCACAGAACTGCGAATTACGAGCCTCTAAAATTGAATTAGTTAATCCAACAGCCACTTATTATCCATTCCAAAAAAAAAATATTCCTTTGGAAATAGTTCGTCATTATCCCCACTTACGAACCAAAACCAACTACTTTTTAGCACTTTTTCGCCTCCGTCATAGCATTAGTAAAGCCATCCATGATTTTTTTCACCAAGAAGGATTTTACTATGTTCCTACTCCGATTATTACCAGCAATGATGCAGAGGGGGCGGGAGAAGCCTTTACCATTACTACTGATAAAAAAGAACCTTTTTTCTCGCAACCTGCCAGCCTGACTGTCAGCGGACAACTCCATGCCGAAGCCTTAGCCCAAGGATTAGGTAAAGTTTATACTTTTGGACCCTGTTTTCGGGCTGAAAAATCCCACACTACTCGTCACTTAGCCGAATTTTGAATGGTGGAAGCCGAAATGGCTTTCGCTGATTTAGAAATAATAATCAATTTAGCCGAAAAGATGACAAAATATGTAATAAATTATGTTCTTGACAATAATGGCACCGAATTAGAATACTTGGAAAATTATGACAAGGAAAATAAAAAAGAGATAATTAATAAATTAAAAAAAATTGTTGATAAAAAGTTTGAAAGGATGGATTATGTTAGGGCTCTTGAAACTTTAAAAGAAAAAAAGGCAAATTTTATTTTTAATGATATTAAATGAGGTATGGATTTACAGTCTGAACACGAAAAATATTTATGTCAATATTTTAATAATGCTCCGGTTTTTGTTCTCAATTTTCCCAAAGAAATAACGGCTTTTTATATGAAAGGCAGAGCCTTACCAGAGACCAAAAATAATTCAGAAAAAAAAATTGTGGCTTGTTTTGATTTATTGTTTCCGGAAATTGGGGAATTAATTGGAGGAAGCATGCGGGAGGATAATTATCAAGTTTTAGTAGAAAAAGCCCGAAAAATTGGCCTGGATACTGCTAATTTAGCCTGATATTTTGATTTAAGAAAATACGGTTATGCTCCAAGTGGCGGCTTTGGCCTCGGTTTAGAAAGATTAATCATGTTTATCAGCGGCACAGAAAATATTCGGGATACTTTGGCTTTTCCGAGATTTAATAACAAATTAGAATTTTAAAAATTAAGCGAGAAAATTTTTCGCCCATTTTAATGATTAGACAGATAAAAAAATGAGGGCTTGAGACTAAAAAAATGTATAAAATTAAGTTGATGTCCTTAATGGCTGGATTATAAAAAGGTTGAGATAACAAAGAAACACGACACAATCCACAAAAGTAGCACTTCTCATGAATTTTTCCTGAACATATCAAACTCCTGGTAAAGGTTGATGGGCTAATTATCGTTGGCATCTAACCGAACCAAGTGAAAATTTGGAACTAAAATCTAATAGTTGAAAACAAACTTTTTTTCGGCAGGGTTGGCAAGGTAAAGTTTTGGAAGTAGAAAGTGTTGGGGCAGCAAAAAAATGCTTGCGGGCCTTACAAAATGGAACCGTTACCGCTTTTGGTGGCAGGTTTCGTGGAATTAGTTATGACAAAAATGCGGAGCGGATGATTAAGCAAGCCCAAAGGTCGCTAAAAGAAGCAATTAAGAAGCATGAGAAAGGAGAAAATGTTGATATTAAAGAAGTTGCTATCGTGCCTGCTTCTTATTATCGTTGAGGAATAATTGTTAGTGGAGTTTTAATTTTTTTAGTTTTCGTTTTTGTTTTGTATTTACTTATCAAGTATTTAGCAAAAAAACGTAATTCATAACAAGCCGTTAAAATATGAATTAATGATGAAAAGACCTGTAAAAAGATGAAAATTAAAGTTGAAAGCCGAACAAAATCCGAATATTAAATTAACTTTATATTCCTCCCAATTTTCATGAAAAACCCCAAAAAACGTTTACAACAACTCCCCTCCCAACAACTTTTACAAGAAATCCAAGAATTTATTGCTACTCGTCCTAACCACAAAAGAGAAAGAAAAAGATGAATCCATTATTGTTTATTTCTCCTCTGTTGAAAAATCGGCTTGCGGGTCAGCGAAGCCATTAATTTTAATTTAGAATTGCGACATCCCGAGTCCGAATACCAGGATTTATATTTGCTGCGAGGCAAAAGAGGAAAAGACCGATATGTTTATGTCTCGCCAGAAATAGCCGCCATATTAAAAGAGCATAATTGACAACCGAACCAGACTAATCGCCGGGATTTTTGGGAGTTTTTGTGACGGGTTCGCTATGATTTACAAATCAGCCCTCATACGGAATTAGCCCCTCATACTCTCCGCCGCTGTTTTGCTACTTATAACCTTCTAGCCGGCATGCCCCTCAATATTTTACAAAAAGTTTTAGGACACAGTCGGGTTTCTACCACCTCTCTCTATATTAAAGATAGCGATTTAGCGAATCTATTAAAGTTTAAGCCCATTTAAAATTAAAATTATATAACAGTATGACAGCATTCACAAAAAAAAAAAAAAACTAATAGCCAGTTAAGCACTGGTTCAGAGAAGGGAAATTAAGGCTATGTTTATCGGAACCAGTGAAAAATTGAAGCAGAAAATCCGAGAATTTAACGCCAATTCGGGTTGATTTATTTTTAGCCAGGGTGATTTACAACCCGATTATAACGCTATTTCCGGAAAAAGGTATAGTATTGTTTCCCCAGAATTAAAACGAAAATTGGGAGAAATCATTTCGCAACGAAGAACAGCAGAGGATAATATTTCTTCCTCTCCGACCATTATTGAGGTTCGATTAACACTTGACCCTCAACAAAACAAAGCGAGTTATGGTCCTCTTAATTATGGTTGATGGTTTGTAGTTAAAAAAAGTCATATTTACCGGTCGGCTCGCGACAGCGGAGGAAATGTGATATCGCTTCTTTCCAACAATGACCAAGAAAGAAATTGAAAGAACGCCAGCACCAGGAATTTGGCTTACATTTTGGGTAGCGAGAATTATCGTTATTCGGACGAATGAGTTGAAATTCGTCAAATTGAGAGAGAGTGGCGAGAACGAGAGCGTCATAATTTCTGAGCCACCCGCCGTTCGGCCCGGGAAGAAATAAGAAATAAAATAAGGGAAGCCAACATGGATTTGGCGGAAGTTTTCGCAGCCGGAGGAGAATATTTTGATTTACAACCTTCTTATTGTTTTTGCGGAAATACAACCAAACGAGCAAGCAGAATGATATTGAGACCATATAGACCTCTGCCTAGACCGGGAAGAGAAAATTAGGGAATTCAAAAACGAAATCATGAATATTGTGGAAAGAAGTGTCGGACAATTTAACCAACGCCGTCAGCAAGTCATCGATCAAGCCAAGCAAGAAGCCCAAAATAAAGGAGTGCAGTTAGATTTTAGTTATTGAGAAGGAGCGGTTTATGGATGCCGAAATAGTGAAAGGTTGAACGACTTACAGAGACGGCTGAATGATCTAATTCGGGACCTTACTAATATTGGAGAACAAGCCCGCCAAGAGAGGGAAAGAATGACCCAAGAAGAAGCCCAAGCCCAGCAAGACCAAGCCCAAAGAGAAAGGGAAGAACAAGAGAGGAGAGAAAGAGAACGCGAAGAAAGAGACCGGCAACGAGAAGAAGAACTGCAGAGCGAACAGGAGGAAAGGAGCCGAGAAACAGAAGACAATTTTAAGTTTAAAGATGCTGAAATCGCTCGAGAAAAAGAAGCACTAGAGCAAAAACTAGACGACTTGAAAAAGAAATTGGACCAGCCAGAGAACCAAGACCAGACCGATAATTCTGATTATGAAAATGAGAAAAAAGATTTAGAAAAGAAATTGTGAGATTTGAGAATGAATAATTTCACTAGTGATCCATCTCCTAATGACAGGGACAACAATCCACCTCCTCCGCCAAGCGAAGAACCAAAAATTTCTACTAAAAAGGCAGAAAGCAAACTTAATTGACTAGCCATAATCCCGGCAATGTTTATTGTGGGGGGAATAGTCCTGATTTTTTTGAGGTCAAGAAAGGGTCGCAAAAATAAATAAACCATTCTCTTATTGAGTTGTCAATGCCTAATTTTCTAAGCAAATTTAAGCAAAACCGGACAGTCTCTTTTAACTTTATTTTATTAATTTTTTTTCTTAAAAGGAAAGCCTAATAAATGTAAAAAATAATTATTTTCCTCACGAGAATTAGATTTAAAGACAATGGTAATTTGGACCCCTTGATTTTTGAAAGTTAAATTATAAGGAACTCTGAAAAAAATGTTTAAATCATTTATCCCCAAATTATAATTTCCGTCTTGATCAAATTTTTCTTCAGAAAAGCCTTGAAAGTTAGTAATTTCAGGTGCTTCGAGTTTAATTAATCCAAAAAGAAAGTTCCAAGCCCTTTTTTTTCTTAATGTTACTTTACAACCAATCGGCATCCCTTCTCGTAGTTTGAACCCGGTAATCGATTTACGAGCATAAGTAATAACCGGTTTTTGGCCGTATGCAATTAGCATAAGGGCTTTTTCGGTAGTTTCCAATGTTTTTTTGTCGTTGACCGCTTGACTGACACCACTATTAAGGACAATTTTTTCAATATCCGTAGTTTGCATAGGAGTAGTGTGCTTAAATTTTTCTCCTACCAACTTTTTGACCTCTTTTCTTTTGGTTTCCCACCAATCATTTACGATAAGCATATATTATTATAATTTTATGCATGCAAGAGAAAGGAAAGGAGAAAAAACGTTTCGCGTTAAAAATATTAACTATATATGCCTAATAATTTGCAACTCTTTTTCCAAGATTTACAACAAAGAGGAATAGTGGCTAATGTGGCTAATCTAGATAATTTTTACCAACTGGAACTTGAACCAAAAAAAAAGGTGGTTTATTTGGGGATAGATTGCACGGGAGAAAGACTTCATATCGGACATTTATTTTTACTCATTCAGACTATTCGCTTTGCCAAAGAAGGTTTTCAAATTCTCCTGGTTTTAGGCGGAGCTACCAGTAAAATCGGCGACCCAAGTGATAAAAATGAGGAGCGACCGCTACTAGAGGTTGAAAAAATTGAGAATTATCAGGCCAAAATAAAAGCACAAATAGAAAGAATATTAATTAAGCCCAAAAAAAGAGAAAAAAATGACCTTGCCCCTCTCGAACAATTTTACGCTGACAACCCAAAATTACTAAATGATATTTATCAAATATTAAGTGTAAATCCGACCACCAACAAAGACCAACAATGAGAGGATTATTTACGCTATATTTGTCCTTTGAAAGAAAGCAGCCATTTCCGAATTTTAAATAATAAAGATTGATTAGAAAAAATGAATTTTATTGATTTTTTACGGCAAACCGGCAAATATTTGACTATTGCTTATTTATCCAGCAAAGAGACCGTAAAAAAAAGAATAAATACCGGACTTTCTTTTTTAGAATTTAGTTATCCGCTTATCCAGGCTTATGATTTTTATTATTTATACAAAAATTATAATTGTCATGGACAGTTAGGGGGCAGCGACCAGTGGGGAAATTTGACTACCGGTTTAAAATTAATTAAGAGTTTTTACCCAGAGAACCAAACTTTTGCTTTCAATTTTCCGCTGCTGGCTGATTCTAGTGGCAAAAAAATCTCCAAAAGCGAAAGCGGCAAAAAGATATTATGGCTAAATAGCGAACCCAAAGCATTTTTCGATTTTTTTCGTAATATGCCGGACGAGCAGGCCGAAATTTACATAAAGCAATTTACTTTTTTGAACGAAAAACAAATTAATGAGTTAGCAAAATTGAATAATCCTCCGAGCAGAAGGATATTTCAGCGAATTTTATACGAATTATTATGGTTTATTAATAGTTAAAATTATTGTTTTTTTTTTTTTTGTTAAAATCAGAAGCCTAACACCAGCAAGAATGATTAAAATGGTTACTCCTATGACTAGTCCTCATTTAAGCGAAGCAAATAGGGAACTGTTATTATTTGGGGTTTTTTTGTTTCCAACATTATTGTCGTCATTTTCCTCGCTGGGTTTTTTGTTATTTGGTTTACGGTTTCAGTATTCACCTTGATAGAAGTGAAAATTGTCTTTTTCGGTTGCTGAAAGAGAATTAGTAATTTCTTCGAATTTTTTCCAGCCACTTTCGCTCCCGCCGGTGATATTAACTTCTGGTAATTCGTGAGGGTGGTTTAAATGTCTCAACGCACCACCGCCGATTTTTCTCAATAAGTCGCGGTCCTCGGGATTGTTTAAATTTCATTTAATGTCGTTTTTTTGTAGATAGTCGTCAGTATCTTTTTTAATTTTTTCACTTTTTCCCTCCAATATTTCGTTAATTTCTCATAAATAATGCTTTAAACAAGGAGGACAGTTTTCGGTCGTTATTCCGATTGCGTCAATTCATTTATAATATTCTTTTTTGATTTCATGGCGAAATTCCGCCGTTTTTTTGAGGATTGACGCGGCCACAAGAAGTAATTGGGTCAAAAATAAATCCTCAAACCCTTCTCTCGTGTCATTACTGTCAGCAATGGTTCGGCGATAAATCTGCCTTTTAATATCGGGAATGCTTAATTTTTCCATATACTCCTCAAATGCCTCCAAACAATTATGAAAAGTATCTTTGACTACTTCTAACTCGTGATTTTCGTGGTCTGTCATGATTATATTAGTTTTTTATCTTTCTAAGCCGCTACTTGGGCTTTAATGGCCGGATAAGGCTCATAATTTTCCAAAACAATATCTTCAAAACGAAAATCAAAAAGCGATTTTATTGAAGGATTGAGTTTGAGGGTTGGTAATTTTTTGGGTTTGCGGCCTAACTGCTCTTGTACTTGCTCGCGGTGGTTCAAATAAATATGAGCGTCACCAATAACGTGAATAAATTCTCCTACTTCATAACCACAAACTTGGGCTAGCATGGCAGTCAGTAAACTATAACTAGCAATATTAAACGGCACTCCTAGAAATATATCACCACTTCGTTGATACAGCAAACAGGACAATTTGTTATTTTCTGAAACAAAAAATTGGGCTAATAGATGGCAAGGCGGCAAAAGCATTTGCTTAATTTCCGGTGGATTTCAAGCCGTTAAGATATGACGGCGAGAAAAAGGATTATTTTTTAGATTTTCCACTAACTCTTTTAACTGGTCCACACCTCCAAAATTACGTCATTGTTTACCATAAACCGGACCTAATTCACCATATTTTTTAGCAAACCCATTATCGTTTTTAATTTTTTCTCTAAATTCGGCCAAACTTTCCCCCCGATAATCAGAAGAATTTTTATATTTGGCAAAAGGTCATTCATTCCAAATATTTACGCCATTATCGACCAAATATTTAATGTTAGTATCGCCCTTAATAAACCATAAAAGTTCGTGAACGATAGCCTTAAAATTGACTTTTTTAGTAGTCAGCAGAGGGAACCCTTGACGAAGGTCGAATCGCATTTGGCAGCCAAACAAGACCTTGGTTCCAACTCTGGTTCGGTCAGATTTGTTGGCCCCATTTTTCATTATTTCATCCAATAAGTCAAGGTATTGTTTTTCCATGAACTCCGATTATTTCTTCGTCTTTCCTTTCACTTTAATTCTCTTTTTCTTCCCAAATGCCTAATCTTTTTCGTATTTCGGTCACTACATCCGCATCAATTTTTCTCTTTTTGAATCCTTGTTCTAAAGTAATATTGTAAGCGTTAAGTTTTTGGATTTCTTTCATTATTTCTTCTCGTTCAGTTGGCAAGACTCCGGAAGTCATTTTTCTTTCTAATTGTAAGATTTCCACTTCCCTTTTTCAGTAATCTCACAGCAGCATCAGTTTATTTTCGATTCTTTCAGCTTCCTTTCAATTATCATCAAATCAACCTTTATTTTCTTTTTCTTGTCTAGATAAGTCTTTCAACTTATCCAAAAACTTCTTTTTCAACTCTTTTTTCTCAGAGATAAGTTTTCGCAACTGGGCTTCAATGTCCTCCAATATTTTTTCGGCCTTGGTCTTTTTACTACTAATTTCTGACATAGTATAAGTGAATTTTAATGATTTATCAAAATGACTAATTTTTTTTTGCTAATTTTCTCTATTTTTTGGCGAAATTCCTTCTTGTTTTTTTCATCCAGAGCATTATCGGCTTCGTCAAAAATAAATATTTCCTTATTTTCGCTAGTTGTTAAAAGAAGGTCAAGGTCTTTCAACTGTTTCTGACCGGTTGATAAGCCATTTTCCACCAAATTTTCGTGTTCGGCATAAGCAATTTTTTTTCTTCACGCTATTAGGTTTATTTCATTTAATTTATATTTATTGTTAATTAATATTTTCCCCTGGTTGGTCTGATATAATCCCATAATTAGGCTGATTATGGTACTCTTGCCGAAGCCATTTTCACCACTTAGGTGGTTAACCTGACCACGACGAAACTCTCAGTCCAATTTTTTCAATACAGGCTTATTTTTCTGATAGGAAAAACTTACTTTTTGGAAAGTTATACTTTCCACTGGTTCGGAAACGAGAACATTTTTTTGAGTATCGTCTCGTTCTGGTTCAGCCAGAAAGTCATTAATCTGCTTTTGAGCGGAAAGCCCGAAAGGATAAAACCGCAATCTTTCAGCCATTTTTTTGGTATCTTCGGCTAAACTGACTAGGCTGTTAGCAGTTCTAAAAGTTGGTTCGTTGTGGATAAAACGCAAAAAGAGAAAAGGGGCGAATTTTGGTAGAGAATAGGCTGGAATTACGAAAGAGTTAGTAAAAATCCAATCTCGCTTATTTTCAGCGGTGTGGGATTTTTCTAGCGAACGAAGGTAATTTTTCTCATGTTCAGCAACTAGGCTTTTTTTGATAATCAGATCACGATGGTTGACTAAAAATTTTTCTTTTTCTGTCTCTTTTTCCAGCACCTTTTGGAATTCTAGATCTTTTTTGTAATGTAAATATTGAAAAATGATAATTATGGCAGTGCAGAGAAGAAAAAAACCAATTCCTAATCCAAGCATAGTATTTCCTACCTCTTTTCGGTGTTTGAAAGCGGAAATAAAAGTCAAGCAAACCCCTAACATTCAGTAATATAATTGATTGGGAACATAAACCACATAAGTAGTAAAAATCCGAATATTTTGAGTTAGCACAGCCAGAGATTTTTCTTTGCGACGAGGATTTTGTAAGCGGAATAATTTTCGGACCGTTTTTCTTTTTGCTGCAGCCGTAATTTTATTATTAAAATAATAGCCCCAATAAACGTGGGCTACCACTATCGCACAGTAAATTGCTATAAAAACCCCTATAATCAGCAAAAATTTTTTTCAGTTCTCTCCGAATTCCCACTGGCCCAAGTTTCAAAAACCAAGGTCTCACTTTAACTGGTAGGTAGCCTTCCCACCTTTTTTCAGAGTTTCATAAACAGCTTTAAAACTATTATTTGCGATAAGAAAACTGCTAAAACAACTTAAAGTGGTTAGCAAGTAAAAAATAACTGTCTCTTTGCGGTAAATGCTGGTTATCGTTCATCAATTTAATTTTGTTTCTTTCTTTTTTTTTATATTTATTTCTGCCATATTTTTATAATTTTTAAATGCTAAAAGTATAAAAATACAAAAACAGAGTAAAAAGATATTAATTTTTACTATACTGAATTATTTCTTATCTTTGTCTAACTGAAATGAATAATTACTTGTAATATTTTATTCTTAAAATATTCTATTTATTTTTCATAACTCAAATGTTCCTTAATTTTTTGGGCGGCAGTGGCTAAATCGTTTTCTTTGATTGTTAAAATATGATCGAACTCTGCGGCAAATTTTTCTTCTCTTTCAGCAATAATCAGGCGCCGAAGAATTTCCGGCTCGCTGGTGCCTCTTTTTTTCATATGTTCCACCATTCTTTCCGTGCTTTCGGCTTTAAATCAATAAGAAATGGCGTTGTATCCTTTTTCTTGACAATATTTTTTGATTTGCCAAAAACCGGCCACATCCACAATAATAACCCCATGCTTATTTTGGGTTCCTAATATTAAATCAACTACTTTGCCGTGAATTCCGTAATAGTTGCCATCGTAAATTACATGCTCTAAAAAACGACCTTTCTCTAATTCGGTTTGAAAGGTCTCTTTGCTGATAAAATAATAATCTTGACCGTCTTTTTCTCCCTCGCGTGGTGGGCGAGTAGTAGTTGAAATTAATTTAACAATATTAGGGTCCTGGGCTAGTAAATTTTCTACTGTCGTTTTGCCGGTGCCGCTGCCTCCGGCAATAATTAGGAGAGTATTCTTGCCTTTTTTTGTTTTTTCTGGATTACCCTGGTTGCCGGCATATTTTTCGAACTTGCGGATTTTTTCGAGATAAAACTGGTAGGGCTGGTGGCCTTTAGCCTCGGGACTAGTAGAATTACTATCAACAAATCTAATGCCTAATATTTTCTCAGTCTCTTTAATGGTTATTTCCCCCGCATATTTTTGGGTCCGGAAAAAATGGACTTTTCAGTGCCGATTTCCTGGAGGTAAATCAGCATAGAACACATTTTCTTCAGCAATTTTTTGACAATTTTCTATCGTTAAATTAGTCTCCTCAAATACCTCGCGGCAGGCAGCCGCTTCGGGCGTTTCGCCAGGCTCGATTTTACCACCAGGGAAGTTCCAACCTCATTTATCTTTTACTAGCAAAAATTCCCCTTTTTCATTTTGGATAATTACTCGTACAGATTGGGGCAAATGGGCTTCATTTTTGGGCGCGCGAGTTTGTTTAATTATGCCCTGAACTTCAGTCAATATTTCGGTTTCGCTTTGGTCCGCATTAATTATGTGAATCCTTTCGGGGAAAAGTTTTTTCAATTCCCGATAGTGATTTCTTATTCGGTGGTGAAATTCCAAATTTAACTTATCTCAATTGGTATATTCTCCGGTGGCTAATTTTCTTTTTTTTAATCTATCTTGGGCTTTAACGGGGTCAATATCAAGAACAAAAGTAATATCGGGCCAAGGCAAGTCAATCGTCTTTTTAGCAACTTCTTGGATGGTGCCAATTTCCAAACCACCGGCTAAACCTTGATAAACCAGAGTGCTGTCAATATATCTGTCAATCACAACTATTTTTTTTTCTCGCAAGTTAGGTTGGATTACTTTTTTTTCTAATTCGTCAAAAGCCACTAAAATCAGAAAAATATAACTTCAATCACTAGGCAAGCCATTTTTTTCGGCTCCGCGGGATTCATTAAGTAAATGTCAGATTTTTTGCCCTCATTCGGTGTCCCGTCAATTATGAACTATGAGGTCTAATTCACCACTTTTTTTGAGGTTGTTAATCAGGGTAGTTTTGCCGCTTCCGTCGATTCCTTCCAGGGTGATTAGCAATGGCATATATTTCTATTTTATAGCTGGTCAGAAAGGGAAATTTTTGCCCAAAATGGAGCAAAAAAGGGGATGATAAGAGCAGTTTTTTTTGGCATTGTTTAGTTGGAAATAAGAAAAATAATGACCTTAAGTTTTTCTAGTAAGTTTTTTGGAAAAAAAGAGAAAAATATTTTGCCGAAAGAGCAAAAGTAAACCGGCATTTTATTCTTTGAGATTAAAAACATGGGTATTTTTAATAGACAGGAGAATAAGAAAAAAAGATTACAATGTTTTTGAATAAATTACACAATGTATAAAATACTTTTTCTTGAAATTTCCACGCGGGAAAAAAAGTAAATAATTGACGTTCAAAATAATAAGTTAAGACAGTTTTTCTCTAAAATCTGGGGTTCCGGTTAACGAACAAGTGCCGTCAATATTTTTAGGAAAAGCAATTAATTCTTTTAAATTATTAGTGTTTAATATTACCGCCAACAAACGGTCAATTCCTAAACCAATCCCACCATGGGGGGGAGCCGCAAATTCTAATGCTCGCAAAAAATAACCGAAATTTTTTTCTCTTTCTTCCTGCTTATAACCTAATATTTGTAATACTTTTTCTTGTAAATCTCGTTGATAAATACGGATACTACCGCTTAATAATTCCTCGCCATTACAAATTAAATCAAATGCTTCTCCAATTACTTTTTCAGGCTTAATTTTATCATTTAATAGGGGTTCGATATATTTTTTTTTTGGAATGGTAAAAGGGTGTCTAAAAGATTCATATTTTTTCGCTTCTTGATTATACTCAAAAAGCGGTCAATCGGTTATTCACAAAAAATTTAATGCTTGGTCCTTTTGGGGATTTTGGCGTAAATCGGGTTTATCGGTGCCGTATTTTTTTATTACTTGCTGATAGGTTAAAGTCGGAAAGGGGGTGGTTATTTGATAACCAAAAACTTTTTTCAAAACGATTTGGAGCAATTTTTCCACTAACTTTTTGATTTCTCGTTCGGAGGCAAAACTTAACTCTAAATCTAATTGAGAAAATTCAATTTGACGATTACTGCGAGCATCCTCATTGCGAAAACTTTTGTCAATTTGATAATGCTTGTCAAAACCGCTCATCATTAACAACTGCTTAAAAATCTGGGGGGATTGGGGCAAAGTATAGTAACGATTGGGGAGATTAGAGGGCACCACAAAACAGCGAGCACCTTCAGGGGAACTTTGGGCTAGAATGGGCGTTTCAATGTCAACAAATCCTCTTTTGTGCAGAAAATTTCTTATTTCATGGCATAATTTATCCTTAAAAAGCAGAAATTTTCTGCTGCGGGGACGACGCAAATCTAAATAACGATAGCGATATTTGGTATCCTCACTAATATTAATTTCATCTTTAATCTCAAATGGTCATTCTCGGCTGGTATTGATTAATTGATATTTTGTCAACTCAATTTCTAATTTTTTTTCTGACCCCTCCTTTTTTTTGATAAGGCCTCAAACTTTTAATAAATCCCCTTTTTTTCTTTTTTTTAGCCCGGTAATTAATTCTTGGCTCTTAACTACAATTTGAATATAACCGCTGCTGTCCTGACCGATAATAAACCACAAAGAATTACTTAATTTTTTAATATCAACAATTCAAATATAAAACGTGGTGTTTTTATTCAACTTTTTGAAAGTCAATTTGGCAATTTGGGAAAAAGAGGTCATTGTGGCTTATTAAGATAATTTTAATACTGAGTGCGAAATTATTTTCCGCTTTTTGTTTTTAACTGAATTACGCAGTAATTTAACTTTACTGGAAAAGCGGACATTTAATTTGCACATTGTAATAAAAGAAAAAAAAGAGAAAAATATTTTGCCGAAAGAGCAAAAGTAAACCGGCATTTTATTCTTTGAGATTAAAAACATGGGTATTTTTAATAGACAGGAGAATAAGAAAAAAAGAAGCCAAGGGGAGAACATACTCTCCCCATGCTCTTTTTATTATCGGCATTTTTTATTCGTCTTCTTTTTCGTTGCTGCTGGACCAGAAATAATAAGCCACGGCTCCAACGACTAATACTAATACCACTATCAAGGCAACTGTATGCCAAGTTTTTCAGCCACCATCAGGACTTTGACTTTGCTCGCTGGCTTTTTTGGCCGCTTGCATGGCTTTTACTTTGGCGTCCAGACCGCTTATTAATTTATTGAGAGTGGCTTTGCCCTCCGCACTTAAATTTTTGTAAACTGTATTTTTGTCGCCCGTTTCACTATATTTTTTTAATTCCGTTAACTTATTTTCCAGAGTTGACAAATCAGTAGCATAATTACTATCTACATAATTTTTCTCAAATTTTTTAATAAATTCCGCTATTAATTTAGCCAAGGCTTTTTTATCGGCATTACTATCCTTATTGAGTTCCACCAATAATTTTGCCCGTGGTTCTACCAATTGTTCTACATCAGTTTTAATATTATTGTAATTAGCAGAACCCTTAATTATCCCCAAAGCCTTATCTAAACTGGCTTGGTCAGTAACTTGGTCGATTTTGGATTCCGTGATAAGAGTGGTTAAATCAGTAGTGGCTTTTTTTAATTTAGCCAAGGCTCCAGTCGCATATCCCTCCGCACAGGCATTCCCTTTATCATCAAATTTATATTTATTAATTTCCCCTCACTCGGTAGCATTACTACTTTTATATCCTTCCAATTCACTTACCAGATTAGCATCCGTGCCTTTGTTTTTTGCCCAAGCACTTTTACATTTACCAAATATCTCTACTACCTTATTAACCAGCGTCTCGCTATTCAGCACATTATTGTTCTCAATTATGGCCGCTCACGCTTTATCATCACCCATTTTACCTTTGGCTTCTTGCTTAATTTCGTCCAGAGTTTTTTCCGGTTTTTTGGCTTTAATTAACGCCTCATCGGCTAATTTTTTATTATCTTTATCTACTACCTTGTTCGCCAATTCCCAAGCCTTTTTTTGATTGACATCACCTCCCGAATAAGCCCTTAATTCACTCGGTCTGACTTCGGCCCCATTTTTATAAGCCCGATCAATTATTTTGGCTAATTCTTTCAAATTGGTTAAAACTGCCTCATCGTTCTTTTTTAATTCCGCTCGGTTATCGTCAAATATTTTTTTCAACAATGCTTTCATATCATTTCCTCCGGTTGCTGCTCCCACTATTTCATCCCGTGCCGCATCAATTTTGGCATCATCAGGTTTTTTGCCGGTTGGTGGCGGTGTTTGGGTTGGTTTTTTTTGTCTTTTAAGGTCCAGAAATCTACTCGGCCAAAAGACCGAAGCCATCAACTTGGCCGTCTCCTCGGGGTCAGAAGGTCCGCTACCACCCCTAGCTATAACTTCAATAGTGTTTTCGGCAAACAAATTTTCAAACTTTTCTACCCATTTCTCATAACTGGCTTGGTCAGTGGGATTTTCATCTACCAATTGGGCTATTTGGAGCATTATATTATAAGAAGCGTCAACTATTTTTTGGTTATCTTCATTATTCGCATAATCAATAGTATTATTAACTTTCAAAGCAATATAATATTTTTCTAATAATCCCACCGCGTCTATTGGTTTTTTGTCATCTTTTTTTCCTCACTGCTTTACTTCATTGAGGGGATTAATAAAGAAAGCTTTGTTTAAGGCATCATCGTTTGATCTTGCTCTAATTATTTCAATTTTAGTCGCCTCATTTTCTTTATAGTGGTCGGTGCTGGTCCCCCAAGTCCCATCCGCTTGCTTCACCGGATACTGAAAAGTATTGCCACCGGTGGCTGAGATGTCGATGTCTATATTTGTCGTAGTAAAACCTGAAACCACCCTTAACCTAAAATTATTAGCCGTAGTTAAATCTCCCGGCTGAAAACCCCGACAATTTTGCGGGTCGCTTTCGCCGTCAAACTCAGCAGTCAAGCGAAAATCGTCGATATTAGTTTTAGTAAAAATGCTACTAGCCGCTGCATTTTTACCATTACTGCCATCCGCATCCTCTCCGAACTCTCGCCGATTTTTGTTTTGGTTATTATTAGTATTGTTTTTTCCTGGTTTTTGTTTATCTTCAAAAATAGGAAATCCTTTGTAAGTTGGAACCCCAGCGGGATTTTTCTTTATCCCATCTGTCTCGTCAAATATTTTGCTTATTTCTCCGTTCGTTTCATCATTAGTGCCATCTTCCCAAATCAAATTAGCATTACCGGCTCCTGGGTCAAAACCATTCACTAGTCAATTATTACCACCAGCGGCCGTGGCATTATGACGAAGGGCAATAATAAATTGGTTAGCGTTAGCCCGTAATACATCATCCACCTTTTTCACTCCCAACGCTTTTCAAATTTTTCATTCTCTTAATCTCCTATTTCATAAGTCAACTTGTCTTTTATAATAGCCTACTCCATAAACCACTTGTTCGTTAGTATCTGCGGCCGCTTTACTATATTTTTCCAAAGCAGCCAGGTCAGAATCAAGGTTGCGACTAGCCAGGTCTCCCCCGTCTTTCGTATAATGTTGTCCTAATTCTCATAACTTATCTTCCAAAGCCAACAGTGTCGGGGCATAAACAGAAAATTTGCCATTATCCGGGTCGTCACCAACCTTAATGCTAGCCGCCTCGTCATTATCCGTCATTACTACATTATCAATATGTAAATTTTCCAAAATTTTACTATCGGCAAAACTGGTAGATTTTAATACCAAATTATCATCGCCCGTCCCCGTTATATTCAACCAAGATTTAGGATTATTTTGCTCAAATTTTACATTTTCGTCATAATCAATTCCGCTAAATCAAGCATTTCATTTTGCGCGTGCTGCATGTTTACCCCTTACCGAACCTTTTAAATCCAATAAACCTATCACCTTTCTTGCCTCTAATTCAGTGGAACAATTAACCTCAATGGTGGCTATTCCGCTTGCTGCCATTTGAGTATCATTGGTTCGACCGCCAGTTGCTTAGGCATCTCGGCTATATCTAATATCACCAGCCGTGCCATCAGTAGTGCCGTCATCAGTCTTGCCGGTTAACGGAGCACCGGTGCCTTCGGTTTGAAATTTGGCATTACCGCCTAATCCTGTGGACGTACCCAAAGTAATTGTAACTTTTTTTTTGTCCGCATTATCGATTTCAATGTTGTCTTCTAAATTGTATTCTTACTGTCATATAATATTACTAATTTTAATAAATTTATGTTGTCAGAGAGAGAGACAAGAAAATTGAGGAACTGAGGAAGCGAATTGCCAAATTAGAGGCTATTGTTAATCGCACATCCCAGCAAGAGCAGGAGTTAAAGGATAAAAAGCAAGAATTAGCCGAATTAGAGAAACAACAATCACAAGACCCTAAAAAAACCAACTGAACTCCTTGGTTAATTGGAGGGGGAATTATTATGGTTCTGGTGATAATTATTACTTACTTGCTAATGAGAAATAGGGAAAAAGAGATATAAGGATCCGATAAGTTCCCATAAAGGGGTATTATGACAACTGTTTAAGAAGCATTTGTGTTCTTGTATCCCTTTTATAGGGTATATTTTATGGCTAATTGCTTCTGTCTGTTAGGGATTTGACCTAATTTTATTTGGGGGGTTGTTGGGTTTGGGCTTGGAGGGGAGTTTCGCCTTGGTCTTCTTCCTCAGGGATTTCAAAACTTATTTCCTTAGAACCAATTTCACTAATTTTTAGACTTTGTAATCTCTGAGTAATTTCCCTAGTATCTATCATTTTGCTGGTAGTGATGGCATTAGGATGAATTTGGTAAGGAGTGTTTTGGGAGAAAGTGTTGTATTCTTCTTCTAGGGCTTGATATTGTTGATAAAATGGAGGTGATCGCTCTCATTTAACTCCTTGTTCTCAACCACCAACAATCTTTCATAATTCCCTAACACTAGGTCTCTTGGCTGGGTCAGCATCTCAGCATTTTTTAATTAGGTCTTTTAATAGTTGGGGTAGAGGAATTTTGTCTATATCTGGTCTGTATCCTTGACAAACTTTTAGGGCTAATTCTAAATCATCCACCTCTGGGTAAGGATATTCATTAGCAAATAATTCATAAGCGATGATGCCCCAAGAGTAAACATCTGCTGCTTGGGTGTATTTTCCTCCTTGTAAAACTTCTGGGGCAACATAAGGAAGGACACCGAAGATTTGACCTTCTTGTTTTTTGAAGTTGGCTGGTCGGCTGAGACCGAAGTCGGTGATATAACTAGGAGGAGAATAAAATTTATTATCACTAACATAACTATCATTCAAAATATTCCCACTATGGAAATCACGATGAACTAGGTTTTGGTCGTGAATATCTCTTAACCCCTTAACAATATTTCATAATTTTCCAATTTTATCTTTCAAACTTAATTCTTTATTCTTATTTTGTAATAATTGTCTCAGATTGCCATCTTTCATATAATCCATAACCATCACATAATTTCCTTGGGGGTCTTGGGAAATGCCATGGCATTTTACAATATTATTATTATCACTATCAAACAATTTAGTATTAGTAACCTCAGTTAGGAATTCTAGGGTGATGGATTGGGAGTTGGTAAGGGATTTGAGAACTACTATCATATCTTTATCATAAAGATCTTTTCCTCACTTAGCCTTATATATCTTGCTAAAACCACCCTCGGCTAGATATTCAGTGTTAGCAAACTCTTCGTAAGGAATTCATGGTAAATTGTCTTCATCATCATAATCTTTTCCTTGTTGCTGAATAAACTTATCAATTAATTCTTTTCCAGTTAAGTTCTTTAAATCCGACTGCCATTCTTTCTCAGCGCAGGGTTGGCATCAGGATTGGCTGGTGTTAGGTTGAAGGCATTTAGGGCAGGAACCACACTGGTTAATTAATTTTTGGTTAGGGAGGTTGTTATATTTTAAGTCTATTTTTTTTAAGTTAGTAAGATTGGGAGGTAAAGTGATGTTGGCTAGTTTATTATAAAAACACAAAATTTCAATTAAATTAGAACAATTACTAACATCTAGGCTAGTTAATTGATTGCCAAAACAATCAATTTTCTCTAACTTCTGACAATTAATTAATTTGAGAGAAGTTAGTTTATTCTGATAACATTTAAGTTCCTTTAAATCAATAAAATCAGACAAATCAAGGTGACCTTCGAGGTTTTTTCAACTAATTTCTAACTCAGTTATTTCACTTCTGGTTTTACCAAAATTATTTATTTTATTCCCTCATGCTCTTTCATTCTCTCTTATACAAGTTCCCTCTGGGGGATAATTCTCATCTAGTCATTTTTGAGCCTCTACACATTTGATAATCTCAGCCCTTTCTGGTAAGTTTTTGAAAGTTAGTTTAGTTTCATTTGCTGAGAGAGAAATATATACTTTTATACCACTATAAGTAAAATCCCCTAAATCTAATTCTCCTTCTAAGGTGGGTTCGGTGAGGTAGATTTGTGATACTTGACCTCTTTTCCTTCATTCTTTTGTTTGACAAGGATATGGATTATAATCAGTTCAATTTTCCTTTCAACCTTCTTTCGGATACTTCTTATCCAATCATCCTTGGCTCTTTTTACTTTTGTCATAGTATTCTTCTCTCAATTCCTCTAAATCTAATTCTGATTGGAGATTATAACTTTTTGCTTTTAAATAACTGGCAAAATTATAGTCAGCAGGAGATAAACCTTTTTTAATTCATTGTTGAATTTCCTCAGCAGTGAAGTCATGTTGTTTTCATAATTCTTGTAGTTGAGGAGTAAAGTTAGGATGAATAGTCTTTAAGTTTTCTCACCCAACATAATCTTTTCTCAGTTTTTCTAAACTATTTTTGTCTAAGTCTTTTGGTTCCCTATGACCATTATTATACAAATATGCAGCAAAGTCAGCCTCTTGGGGAGTTAATCCTGCTTCTATTCATTCTTTAACTTTCTCGTAAGGGAAAATTGGTTGTTCGGTAGAAGTGTTAATTCACTTTTCTCACCCATTTTGTAATTCCTCAGTAAAATCAGGATGGATTTCTTGTCAGTTTACCATAATATTTAATTTTACTGATTTTTATAATATTCGTAGATTAGGTTTTTAACCATGACTTTAAAATAATCA